ATAAAGCCATGTTTCTAAAGACTGCATGGGAGACAGTACTTCTGTTCACAATCTCCAGTGTATTTGTTGGTCATCTTTTGCAGGTAAAATTTGGGCTTTTCACTTGCTCAGGTGTTGGAACTAGAGGGAAAGTTTTGACCAAATACTTTCCATTAAAGCCATCAATCTTCCAGAGAATTCCACCCCAATACTTGGTGCCTAAAATAGATGTGCTTGCCTTGTGTTGTTTCCTCTTTCAAATAAAAGCTCTACCAAAAACAGGTTGACCATAAATTCACCTAAGTCAGTGAATAAACTATAGAACCAGCCAAAGTTAGACATTATGGGACTACTGATTAGGGGGAGGAGTCAGGAAAAACTCAGCCCTGTAAGCCACAGAATAATTCTGTAGGTATGACTAGTTTTAGTCTATTCAACTGAAAGCATTGGTGCAACTTCTTCTGAGAAGTCTTTTAGGCTGGGATTAGAACAGTTTAGCAAAGGCCGCTACTACAATCTATTCCGCAAAACTTCTTGCTGGAGAGCTCCTATGCAGCTGAGCACTGCAATACCTAGAGTGAAGAGCTCCTGCACAGCTCCTCAGGCTCTTCTGTTGTATGCATCACACTAGACATACCAACTGCTAAAGAAAGTTGTAACCTTATTCAGGTCTCAACTGTGATCTATTTTTATACACATCTATCCACTCCGATTTAAGTTCATTTCACATAACAAACCTGAAAGCTACTTCAAAAACAAAACAAAAAATCCCATATCCAAATGCAACCCCACACATCTGAGCTGCCTTTTCCAGCTGCTCATACACCTTTTAGCAGGTTTCTTCATCAGCTCATGGGCTTATCAGCATTCCACCTCTATGACTGTCCAAAGGCTCAGCAGGAGAGAACAACAGGTCAAAAGAAACCAGGACATTATTTAAGTAGTGTCTAAAAATGGTCTGGGACAATAGTTGAAGCATCAGATATGGTACAATTCAGGTGAAATTGTATCTTGTAAAATTTTAAACACATGCTATCTAAGGAGCAGAATGCAGAAGCAACCCCACCACCAACCCGGAAACACATCAGTCCTTAAAACAAATTAAAAAAAAAAAAAGCGATGGGAGCAGTGAAGGTTTTTGGCTTTCTTATTTGACCAAGTCTGACAAGTAAAGCTTGGCAGAAGCAAAACATTTAACCCTTAGAGGTACATAGCAAAGCACTTAGTCACATACTGGTCAAACGGACTTTCCTCGAGGATTTTGTTGCCGTTGTTTCGTATGAAGCATGGATTTCTTAGGGTGGTAGCTGATATTGGACCAGCTAGGTAGCTGGGATAGAGTTAGACAAGCTTGCAAATGCAAGACACTGAATATCTTGCCTTTGAAAGCTTGTCTAACTCCATCCCAACTACCTAGCTGGTCCAATATCAGATACCACCTTAAGAAATCCTTGCCTCCCTCAATTTCTGGACCATCACAGCTCTCAGACAGGACATTTGAAAGAGACTTTATTAAAAAAAACAACAACAACAACAACAACAAAAAAACCAACAAAACCAAACCCCCAAAAAACAGCATTCAATAAAGTTTTAAAAACAAAGTTTATTGAAACAGTCATGTGCAATCATAAATAAGTCATTACAAAGCATGCAGCAGTAAGTAAATAGTACTTAGCACTTTCATGGTACTTTTCCTATTCAAAACTGCTGGATTACACTTATCACAACTATACCCATTTCACAGAAGCTTTGCTTACAAGTTTGACTTTTATTTAATAAAAGTAACAAAGGAACCCAATTTAATATTCTATATCTTAAAATCTAGAAATATTTCAAAGAAGCCATAGCTACTTTTTAAACCCCAAACAGCATTTCCATGTGCAATTTCAAACAATATCAGGTCATCCTGGTCACAGCCCTGTTACTTCATCAGCCAGGTACCAGTCTCCCCCAGTGCATATACCCACTAAGTTCAGGCTCCCGTAAGAATTCCTTTGACTTCCTATTCAATAAAATTTAGAAAAATGGACTAGCATTGGCCTAAACTAAAAGCACCCTCAAAACATCTTCCCTTCTCCCTTAAGTCCCAGAAACAAAGACCTACAGAAGTGTTTGGGGAAATGGTATATTTTCCCCAGATATTTGGAAATGAACAGAAAATTCATTTTGAACACGAGTTGTTCACACTAGATATGTTGTTAAGTTCTTCAATTGAGAGTAGTAAACCCATAAAACCGTTCCCATAATCCCACCCCTGCAGTCAGAAATAACCTAGTTCAAGTGTAAAAAGCTAGACTGAACTGTCTGTGAACAACCTACAGAACAAGAAGCCGATCAGTGAAATGTGGTGGCTAATTGTAATCAAATATGTGCAAGGGCATCACAAACAGCTCCTTGACAGTTCAAATACAAAAGATTCCACTACTCACATGTGACTTAATCATTCTTGCTAGCATCCTTGCAACCTCTTCGCAGCTCTCCACTCACTCCCCACACATGCACAGACTCACATAATGACAGCCAACCCTCACTACTCCTAGGCCTTTTTCCTTATTCAGAAGACTAATCGTGCAAACAGCTGCCTATTTTCATGTGTGACCCAAGTGACAGGTTGCATACTGGCTACCAGAAGAGAAGGCATAACTTCTATCACCACCTTGCCCTCTCTTCTGCTCAAGCAGCAGATCAAGAGTAGCTCCAAATAATTCATTTCTCACATTTGTCCAATGACAGTCAAATTCATGTACAGGCTCCTGTGATGGAACTAAAGCAGTCAGTGTCCCCTGAGATGCACTCTGACATTTTTCAAATGCTGAAGGAGGAACAGAAACAGGTAAGTCAATGTTACTTAGTAAATTGCACTCAACCTGCCCAGACTCCATTTTTATTTGTGGTTCTCCTTCTTCACCAGCACTTAAAATGGTACTTTTAAGATGAGAAGTGCTTGCATTGATGTACAAACACTCATCAATTGTTCCTGGGCTAGTGTTTAGAGAGACAGGCATCCTGTAAATATTCTCTTTAGCAGTTGGATACTGGTAATCTTGTGCATACTGCTGCCCTCCTAGTTTGAGAGTTGCTGAGGACTGGAGAAAATCACCTTCTGTGTAATAGTCTTCAAGTAAAGCTTTGTTGTATGGATGTTGTTGCACTGGTTGCAAAGGAAACTGAATCTGGGAAGAATTCCCAGTGGGGCCTACACTGAACTGAACTCCATTTGCCATGTAATCCAAGTTGTGGTAAACTGAGGCCTGGATTGGGCTTCTTGCCGCATGTGTGTTGTCTGAGCCCCTGAAGTGAGCATCACACCCAGAAAATTGCTGCCCTGAATACGGCAAGGGTTGGTAAAGAAAAATTTGATTGGCCCTTGCCAGATCTAGCTGCGGATTAGTGAGATTCTGATCAGGTGTTGAATCATGCATCATTCTTGGGCTCTCTTGGCCCAGGTGGGTCAGCTTCTGTTTGCCACACACTTGTTTGAAAGTGGCAGAAGCTTCGGCCTTCTTGTGATTTAGCTGCCTGGCTCTTCTGTTTTGAAACCAAACCTGGGAAAAAGCAGCAGAGAAGTTAAAATAATTTCTGACAGAAGCACCCTTAAAAAAGCCGGGGGGCAAAGGGGAGAAGGGAGGGGAGAATTTCACTTGACACCAGAGAGGCACCAGGTCAAGTTCTTGCTGGTTACACACAGAAACGACCAAGGCTGATGATATCAAAGCACTGCTCCTGGGTCTCACACTGATCTCAACAAGGAGAATTTGATTGGATTCGTTTTTAAAACTTGTTTTAATCGTTCTCTCCCCGCAAACGACTGAATACCTGCATTTCATTGCCATTTCATGCACTGCGGGGAATCGGTCCTGGCTTTCGAGACCCGCCACCCCATGCAAGACTACCGGGACCCTCCTCCCTCTGCTTCGCAACGGGCCATTCGTTAATCAGGCCCCCGGTCGCCGCCAGCCCACGGCCAAGTCCCGGAGCTGGGGGCGCCCCGCGCTCAGCCCAGAGCTCCCACGACGTGGCTCGCCCGACGCCCCGAGGAGCCGGGCAGGCCCGGGCCCGCGGGAAGCTGGGGCCGGCGCTGCCCCGACGGCGGCGGAGCCCGGGGAGCCCGACGTCCGCTCGACGCCGGGGCCGCAGCAGGGGCCCG